CATGGCCTTGATAGATTATCTTATCTAGAGAAGATACAGTCACAAAAGCATATGAGAATCAACCCTTAGTTTACATTGAAAAAGTATTATATAACCCCCCTTGAAAATGTCAGTTCTGGGTTTATTCTTTCCCTGGATCCAATTGCTACACTGAAATCTGGGCAAGGTACCTTTGCCCTCTGCAAGGCAAAAAATTCCTGTGATATCTCTTCCGGGAGCCCCTTTCCCAAGTCCCATTAGCTGTAGCTATGAGCGCTCTTTTGCTCTGAACCCCATCTCTAACCATATATAGGTTATCATACCCCAAGGGATCCCTTCCCCTCTAGGAATCAAGCTCTCCACTGGAGAGTACTAGCATCAGCCCTTGGCTGTTCGTACATAATTCTTTCCAGTTCCCAGCCTTGTACGTAGCTCCAAGCATCCACTCTCTTTAATCTTCACCCTTTACCCTAGGCTGAACTACAGGGAGGCAAGGCCCTTTGACTCATCGAGAAACAAAATGATAGTTATTTAAAAATTCTTAATTTCCTTTGACAGCTATTCTCTATTATTATCTCCTTTGTGGCTCTGGGCTTTCCTTCCTCTCAATTCTAAACTGACCCTTAGACAAGACATTCTTTGCCTTCCTCTCTTCCTCACAGAGAAAAATAATTCTCAGTTCCACCATTTGCCTCTCACAAACCCCCTCTGACTATTTTACATCTGTATTTTCTGACCTTTTATTTCTTTCATAACTTAACTGTACACTGAGCCATTGGTCAAATTCCATACTTCATCCAGGGACTAAACCAGTAGCAGCTTTAATGCTGTGTAGTTTCTAGGGACCTCCATGAATTATTCTGAGGTAAGTTTGTGTTTATACATGTTTGTGAATAATGTACTGGAGAATTAGGAGAACAATAAAATAGAAAACATGAAGAGTTTAGGTTATTTGCTATCCGAACAGTACCAAAGAAACAAAAGGATTCTTACTTGACTTTAGAAAAAGGAAAGTATTTGTAAATTTTTCTTACATATCCCGCTGTCGGGGTCCGCTGTTATGATCCCACATCCCGCTGCTTTTTTTTTTTTTTTTTGTTTGTTTTGTTTTTAATGGTTTTTTTAAATTACATAGCTTGTTTACTAGAGAAATTCACACTATGATTGACTTCACTCAAGAGCTTTCTACTGCATTAGTACAAACTCTACTAACATGAACATTTATGAAAAAAGGATCATGGGAAGGGAAACCTGCTACATGTGACAAATCCCACCCACCGTACATTGCTCCCCATTCTACACATTGTGTTCATATTACAATTATCTTGGCCTTGTTGCTCATGATAGTAGTGGCACAAAATGACAAAAATATCAGTGAGGTTTGAACAGTTCTGCCAGCTTGGCTCTTAGGTAAAAGCTGACCCTAATTGTGGGCATTTCCAAGTCATCCGCTGTCTATGCAGATTGTGTTTAAAGATGCTCCCCACTTCACCCAAAATCTGGAGTTAGCCACTGAGATTGAACAAAGACACATAGAAAACCTTACAAGAACGTTGGAATGTTTCATTACCTGAGAATACTTCTTGTAAGGAGTTGATATTAGATGGATGATCTTTGTCCCTAGATGAATTCTCTGGGCACAGTGACTGATTTTGCAAGAGCTGTATCCTAAAATACAGACTTCAGGGCCTGCTCAGACATAGATATAACCAAGACCTGCCCCAAAAATGACAGGATTAAGAAATATCTCCTCAGGATCTGTTTTGGCTGTCTCAGCTGATACATAATGTATTTTAAAGCATGTGTGTAGGACATTTAGGGTTATAGAATGCACTCAAGGAGTCAGAAGCCAAGTTCACCACACTAAACTAAGACTCAATGTTAAGACCAAAACCACTTCAGGTTCTGAATTTTATTTTGTGCTGCTGAAAATCTTATATCCTGTGATTCTTGGAGCACACTAGGAAATTTTAACCAGCCAGGTTTCCTCTTTCTTTTCTGAAAGAAATATGAAGAAATGACCCATATGCAATGCTGATACCCCAGCGTCATACTGGCATGTCTTATAATAAAGCATGTTAAAAAAAAAAAATCTGTGAATCGATGAATAGAGATTTGTACCAAAAAATATTTTATTGCAGAAGAAAAGTGCTGTCTTTTTTGAAAAGACTGGCATTCTTCTTAATACTAGTGGGGACACTGAATCAGTAAAATAAGTACCCATTGCATTGGGTAACTTTATTTCATCTCTGACACTGACTGTAAGTGAAACGAGCTTGTTATTACATGTGAAGCCATAATGCCAGATTTTCTATGTTATGCCAAAAGAGGGTGCATTCCCATTGTGTAATTGCTATTTGAAATCCTTTTGTCATTATTTCAACACACAAAGTAGAGCTGAAAATGTAATTGGTCTGATTCCTGAAAATCCTAAAGGAAAGATTTATACTTAGCTATGCTCTGTACATTACAAAGCATACCTTTCAGGCTCTTGACCTCTAGAATTATTTATTCCCTCTGTTAACTGGTGAAGCTTTCAAATGTGGTAAGCTAGGCACCTAGGGATGAACTCTTGGGAGAAGAGGAAAACATGCATACTGCCTCTTACAGCTGGTCAAAAGAAAAAGCACAAAAAGGTGTGTTTGAAACCCTACTGTTCTCTGCAGAGCAGAAGATATTTTGAGAAAACACCTCTACTCCTACAAAATTTCCAAAATCACTCCTTAGAATAGGCAGCCAGATAAACAGGGCTTACTGTTTTGGAAGCATGCAACTCTGAGGGTAAGACTTCTCCATGGTAATGGATGAGTATGAATCTCCTCTGAGGGTCAGACTTCTCCATGGTAATGGATGAGTATGAATCTCCTCAGGCTGTGGAGAATCTAAAACCTCTGGGACCAGGAAAGAAAGAATACTACTGTGTCTGTGGAAACCCAGAGCACTGGGAATATTTCTCTCTCTGCTCTGGGATGTCCTGACCCCCAGGGCAGCACTGACTTTGACCCTCATTCATGGAGAACATTTCCTAGATTTCAAGATAGACTAGAATCCACAAAAGTGTGAAATAGATTATAAAGAGTAGTGTAGGTGTATCACTTGGTGAGAAATTGAGGTTTTGGGATTTTTAGTATGTTGTGGATTAAAGCAAGATGGAGGGCATGGAGTGTTGTCCTGGGTTTCTTCTTCATGCTTCTTCTTCCTTCTTCTTCATGGGTTTCTTCTTCACCCTTCCTGGGTGGCACTCTGTAACTGGGCAGAAAAGTCCACATTGCGGGCTCTTTGGGATCAGTTATTGGGTTAAAAGGCAAAATAATCTAGGTGTCAGTTCTTAATTGGATAGTTTAGTCTTAAAAGCCCTCGTAACAAGAGATTGTTAGCCATTTTGTGCCTTCTAATGAAAAGCTGCTGAACTCGCAGTAGTGAGACTGTTTTACTGATAAGAAATAATAAACACTGGAGTCTGAACATGAAACTACTGTCTCAAGTGCCTTCAATCCAGACCCAGAGAAACCGACAACAGGGACCCCACATGTGTCTTACTCCCTTCCTGGAGAATTGCAATATAACTATGTCAGAATAGTTAGTGGTCCATTTTCTAAATTTTTTAGATCTGTACATGTATTTGAAGAGAAAATATATATATATATATTCATCTTTTGTGTGCAGAGCAGAAATGCTTTTGCATTACTGATACAAGATATGTAAATATTTCTGAGGACAAGCATGTTTTTCATAATGGAGTTTCAATTCTCTAAAGCTGTGGTAAAGTCACCTTTCCTTGAGTGAATGAGTGGGAATTGGAAGAAGCAGGTTAACTCTCAGCTCAGACACAAAAATGCCTGCATGATGTTAATGAGCCAGTTAACTCACCTCCAGTTTCCAAGTACACAAAATAGAATATGATCAACTGCACATCTCAGATTCAGTGACAATTTTTAAAGGCTGTGAGATTTGAGATTTGGAATAGTTTGTTTGGTTTTTTTCCCCATAAAAGTAAATGTGGATAACAAAGCTTTTTGGAGAATTGTTGTGAAGTTGACCTGGCCTTTCTCATCTTGATTCCGTCTGTATTAGCACTAATTCTGCTACAAAAGGAGATCTGCAAAGTGAAACAGTTGATGCCGAGGACCTCATATGCAGACTAAAATTGTTTTTTTTTGTACTAGCTTTAGTTTGATCTGTGGAGTGAGTGGTTGGAATGCAGTAAGTAAGCACCTGGATTAGATCTGCTCCTGTTTCAACTAAGAAAAGTATTTATTTGCTCCAAGTGCACTCCACATTGTAACCTAAAAACATGTGTGGGCTGATCATCAATAAATTGAAAAGGACACTGTTGATGCAAACTAATACACTAATGTAATTGCATCCTTAGCCTCTCGCAAGGGTATCATATTTGAATACGGGGAAGGTTTTTTCCTATGTTTTCACAGAAATGAAATAGCATAAATTTCATCTTCTAATAAGAGCTCCTTTAGGGTACCTGCTTCTTTTACACCAGTCAGACCGATCAGCTATGATATATCCCAACAGTCCCTCTCCCTCAAATTCTCAATGTTATTTAGGAGAAGGAACAGATTCCTTCAACAAATCTTTTTAATAATAATTCTGAAAGAAATTTTTCTAAGTATTTAAATTTTTCCAGACAATGTTTTTCTTTATCTTCCCTCTTTTAATTCTGTAATTAAGTTTTAACTAAAAATCTTGTGCAGAACAGAATTCGCAGTTTTATACCTCTGTGTCACAGCTTGTTGCAGTGCGTTTTGGGGTGAGGCACCCCGGGATGTCCCCGGAGGGCCCCCTAGGCTGTGAGCTGGCTGGCAGCAGCAGGCAGGCAAGGACCATAATAAGTAAGTAAGAAAAATCACTGTAGCTACTTTTTTTGAGTACAAGGAAAGCAATAATCTGTGTGCTTCAATCTGGTGCAAAAGAGAGAAGAGCATCCTAACTCTCACAATTATGATAAAGGCTGGAAATGAGGCAGGGAAGAGGACCTGTGATGAAATTTTAACTGTCATTTGCAGACACGGATTGCCCCTCAACTGGGAGACTGTTTTGTGAAGACTTTCACATGGATGGTGAGGTAGGAGTATGGTAAGTCAGAAAATCTTTATTAAAGACTTCTTGTCATACACACAGAAAGGCGACTGAAAAGTATATTCACATATTTCGGTTTGTCTGTGTTGGAATACTAAGTGGAGTATAACAGTAACTAGGCATTTATCATCTTGCACTTGGGGTTTCAGAGTACTCCAAATCTGTTCTAGAAACAGCCAAAAAGCTTATGTGAAGCTATGCAGAAAATTACACTAGTAAATTTATATGTAAACTTTAAATAAAATTTTCTGATTGAATAATATCTAAATGCCCACCAATTCTACCTCAGCCTGGGCAGAGTGCCCACACTGGTTTTCAAATGGAATCTGTTCTAGTCCCATAATGCAGAACTAACTAAATCTGTTTGTTTTTAAATAAAAAGACAACAGATTGTTCAGGCAGGTTGCTATCTGACTAAATAAATACATTTGAAAAAGCATTATTAATGCATGTTCCAAATAATAGTAATAAAGAGCTTAAAGAGATGTTTGTACACACATATAATTCTAATAGTGGTCCCAAGCCTGATTATTCTGTCACTAATGAAAAAGCCCCTGTCACACCATGGTTGATTGTCAGATGCAATCCTCTGAAGCTTAGTGCATAAATATTCCAATGAACTCTTTGTGTATGTTCTTGTTAGAGCAAACATGTATAAAATTGGTAGTACAACTGCATGAGGTGTTTACAAGTTAAAAGAGACTTAATTCTAACACCTTGTATGCACCTGAAATGGCAGGATTTTCCTGAGAGCTATTTTTCAGTGCTTCGCTTTTCCATCTCCATTCCGATTATCAAAAACAACTGTAAAAAAGAGCAAGGAACTGTGTAAATTAAACAAGCTGCTAATGAAGATAATCATCATTTATGCAATGGAAGCTGCAGTTGATCTCTAGGGATCAGCTGATATGAATATTAGTTATTGTAGTCTCAAGAACTGTTCAACAGCCAGCATAATACAAAAATAGAGTACAAAAAATGCCAAGCTTCAATACTTAAAAACAAATGTTTTTCACATTTAAATACTTTTTTACAAACAAGATAAAATATACACTTATACAAATTAATTTTCACTTAACATGCTGCTCAGAAAGTCTGAAAAGACCAGCAGGCTCAGTTTTTTTCTATAATTATATGTCTTTCTTATGACAATCTCTTTTTCATGTTGAAATCATCCTTTCAAGTTGTCAGGAATCATCCAATAAAAATAACTTTACAGGTGCCATGAAAAATTATTAATATATTTTTGAGAAATCTAGTTTAAGTTTATCCTAACAAAAGGAAAATCCCTTCTGTTGGAAGGCTCTCTGTCTGCAATGAGTTAAGCTGATGCTGGATGTGGTGCTCCCACAGGCTCCACCAAGCAACATCTTTCCACAGTGTCAGCTGAGTCAGATAACAAGCTCCTTAAGGGGTCCATCACTCCCAAGTATGTGTACTTGCCTTTATTAACATATAAATAATTGTCTGGAATCCGTTCTTCCCATGAATGCACATCTGGATTCATTGATATAAATATTATTTTCACCACCTCTTTCTTTTCTCTGAAGCAGTCTTGGCAACCCACTGTCAGAGAACACGGGAGCAGAATGGGAAGCCTGTCCCAGTGATCTCTTGCTACAATCACAGCTAAAAAAAGTTTCTGTCCTGCCTGTCTTCAGTTTTTATGCATACATGCATTTTTATGCATAAGTCATGAGGAGTCATGAGGTTATTCCACATAATCTCTTTAATTTAGCACATTAAATATTAAGTGGTACATATGCGAACGTCATGCGTGTGGATAGCTTTCTAATCAGTTCTACAAGCCACAAGCACATTTCTTAGAAATGGAGTAGTTGATGGTGTACACATGAAAACAATTAAATCAGTAAAGATCTTGAAATGAAAGGTTGCTAGGATGTTTGAACATTCTAGCTGAAGAGGATATTATTGCTTTGCAAAAATTTGCACATGTGTATTTGCAGAAACAGCACAATGTCACAAGTAGCTAAAAACAAAAGCTGTTCTGGATGCATTACATGTTACTGCCACTGCATTGTCTGGAAAAAGCCTAGAAAACTGATCTCTGGATTCAGACATTGTCACTTACACAGCTTTACAAAGAAGATAGATTTCACATATTGCTTCCCTTCCTTGAAAAAAAAAAAATTGGCTACACTTTCATTGGATGGGTAAAATGAAAACCATGATTTAGGGTGAGCTTGAGAAAACTAAAACTTTGGGAAGAAATTCCACTGATTAAAACTAAAAGTAGAATATCTTTGGGTTGTAAATGTCACTGGGTAAAACAATGTGGTTTTATTTGTTCTTAATATCTTTGCTGATAAGAAGTTCAAAATATTTTAGTTCTTGATATCACTGAGGTAACATGCAAAGTGCAAGGTGGGGGTCATATTAATTTTTTCAAATTAATGTCATCATTGCTGGCTGTGTATAAATACTTATTATGTCAACCAGCATATTGCAATAGTGTTGCTTTTATTTTTTTCATGCAAATATTCTGTTTTGGGTGACAGTGCATTATTGTGAGAGGAGGAGAAGAAATGTGATAGCTCAGAATTGTAAACCAAAGTGTATGTTAAAGAAAAAGATGAAAGCAGAACTTCTCACCTCTGCTAACCTAAAATGAGATCATACTTATATGGGTAAACAAAGATGCAAGAGGCTAGGATGATGTATGACCACTAACCCTCACAAGTGAGGTTCCTGCATTGCTTTAATTAAAAAAATAATTTTGTTCTCATTCTTTTGTAAGGAAAAACTTGCTTCTCCCTTTCCAGAAAATGCATTGATTCTGTGACTCTTAGGAGAAGGAATTACTATTAGATGATACCATAGACTATTTTCCATTATCATCTGACTCTCTATTTTGTTATCATTGTTCTGTCAGTTCATGCCTTTGGATTTCAGAGTATCATCCTGGAGACAATATATTTTGCTAGGGAGCTGTGCCAGTGAAGAGATCAAAGACATGCAGCAAGCTAAACAAAATACTCAATGTCTACGCAGCTAAGCTAAGTGATGTTATTAAAACCTTTTTTCTTTCCATTGTTTATGCAGCCTCAATGGTGCAAAAATTTCAATTTTCCATTGTAAATACACATAGAAAAAGCTTAATTTGTGTAAGGGACTGATCTTTTGAGTGTAAAATCCAGGCAGCTTAAAAGCCAGTGTTACTGTGAAATTTGTAGTACTATTTTTGTCTGGCATCTGCCCAATCATTTCAGTCTAAAACTGTCCCTTTGGCAGATTTTCATAGTTATTGGGAAGAACTTTGAATTTTCTGTTCTTCTGCAGAATGCTGTACTATACGAGCATCATGCATACAATTGTCAAATTGTGTATTTGTCTGTCTGTCTATCTTTAGCCTATCTTAAACATGTCATTGAAGAAAATAAAGAAAAATAAGCATATGGTCTCTTGTACAGAACAAGTATCTCCTGAGATACAGATGCAGCCACATACAGAGTTCGGGAAAAAAATGGTGTGGCTAAAAACATCTGATCAAATTCAATCATTATGAAACCAGAAGATGTCACACTGGAAGAGCAGTCATAGGACAAAAGTATAGAAATTTTTGATAAACAGCTCTCTATAATGGGAAAACATAGGAGAATAACCTGTAAAGGAAGTGTCAAACCAAGCATACAAAATGGAATTTGGTTTATTCAAACCTGTAAGAGATTTCTATCACACTCAAATAGCCTATGCCTTTGACAACAGTGATTTTTCAGTCCTACAAGGCTTTTACTGATGTTACTGATATCCTTTGTAAATAAACATTTAGGAAACATGAATAGCAAACCATTCTATTTTTTTTCCATACTAAAAAGAATGTGTGACTTTTGTGGAGTAAGGCTTTTGAGAAGTAAAATTTAAGCTTAAAAGGGAACAGAATTGGACTGTATTGGCAACAAAAGTCACACAATATGGGCAAGACAGAACATGCAATTAACCAACCAGATTCTATGAACGTTATTAATATCAAATGGGAAGATGTAAATTCTCAGCAGTGTCCAGTGACAGGACAAGAGACAATGGGCACAGATTAAAATACAAGAGCCAAGGAGAAACTGAAAAATAAACTTGTTTTCTTGGTGTCAGTATCTAAGATCGGCCCAGCTGATCTAAGAATTCACTGATGACAACCCAGGAAGCTCACACCAATCTCTCCTGTCTCACTGTCAACTGACTGGATCTATTTCTTTGTCCAGGGGACAGTTTTCAGTCACCTAGAGAAACTAGAAGGTAACAGCATGAGATCACCTTGGGGCTGGATGAGAAGCTGGAAAAGACGAGGGAGTACAGTGCTTTTTTTGGTTAGGAGCAATCTATTATATTGGTTCAGCATCTCATTTCAGATGTAGGCATAGAAAATTGCAGAGCCTCGTGTCGTTCTGAGCAGTGCAGCCTGTGTACATCTCCAGAGAGCCAGCAACACAGTAGGAATCATGAGTTCAATAAAATGCGTAAGTAGTATTTAACAGCTTTATGTTTGGTACATTTGATGAGAAGCAGGCCCACTGAAAACAGGGAAGGAGGATTAGAAGGGCTAAAATTCACTTGGGAACAGGTAGTGGATATGGGCAGATACACTCTGAAGTTAGCTCATGGGATCTGAAAGCTGACATGTGCCTTGGAAATAAATAACAAATTCAGAACTTGCAGCACAGATGAGGGTTTATCTGTCCTTACATGTAGGATCCCTGATACTGACTTCTAGGACAGATCTCCAGTGAATGGCTCTGCTTTAGTTAAATCATATTTCCTCTATTTGAAAAGCTCAGAAAAACAGTGCTTAGTCTGAATGTTAACCTTCAAATGCCACTAAATACATATTTTCTATGGCCAGCTGCTAATCTCAGCTATAGCTGAGGGAAAAGTAGATATTGAATTGGTCAGTTGAAAGTTTCTCCATAGATGAATCCAGCTCAGGTGTCCCATTGTGATAGCACCTTACTGATGCTGATCTTCTAACTAACATTTTTAAAGGAAGATTTAAGCTGATGTATTAAGCTTTGACAAAGTGTTGTTTGTAGTAGGTGCTAACATTTTCTACAGGGAAAAAAGTACTGAAAAACTAAAAGTAACTCTGGGAAAATCCAGAAATGTAACATTACACCTTCAAAAACTTCAATTAAGTTTTAATCAGGTCCCAGGAAATGCAGCATTAGAATAATTTTCATAAGTCTCCTGAAACACACAGTGGCATGTTCTCTGTCAGAGGTTTCAATCAACTCAGACATGAGATCATATTTAATCACTACTACTGGTATTCTCTCAGTGTTTTCAGTGGAGTAAATGACAGTTTATTTCCAAGTATGCTGCCTGTTTAAATGAAATTGCTGAAACTCTAGCTCTCCTTCAGTACAGCATAAATCTATGGTTTATAATGCATGCACAGTGATATAAGCATTTTGTGACTTGAAATACATAAAGCATTTCAATTTTTTCTTGCACATTTAGGCAATATTTTCCCATTCCTCCTGCATTTGTAAGACTTCCTAGCCCAAGGCTGGAGGAATTGTGCTCATGTCCAGTTCCACCTGCAGAGGGTATTATCACAGAATCTGTTAAAGTTGGTGTTGCAGTTCATAAACAAGCATTAACATGGGTTGAAATAATGACAAACTAGGTTTCCAAGGCTGACTGCAAATTTTGATCAACTTCAGAAGTGAGTTTCCACTTTACTAACTTGAATATACATAAAATGAAAATTTCCTAATAAACTGGTCAATGGAAAAGGTTGTCCAACCATGACATTTAGTTAATTCTTTTTGGTCAAAGGCTGTTTGGATTATCATTAACCTACACAATAATTGGTAGATATTCTTTGCCTCTTTTTATATGAAATAAAATTATATGTTCATAATGATCCCATCTATCTTCTGTAAAACAGTAGGTAGAACTGCTCTCCTAATCAGTCTTGTCATAAATTACCTCAATATATCAGCAAATATAATGGCTTTTAATCAGTAAACAACATTTTGTGCAATGCAACTTTCATTTTTGATTATGTGGACTTTAGTTACTTGTAAAAGCAATGGTAATTTACTGTCCCTTTCCCTAAGGCTTTTCTCTGCATCTATATGGTTCTCAATGCATTTTTTGGTTTCTTTTCAAACAAGTTTGGAGACTTTTTTTCAACACACATGGAGGGATTCACACAGAGGAAGATGTTCTGACTTCTATGAACTATTTGCCAGCAGTATTTCAGGAAGGGATCAGAAATAGCTGTGCTGATTGATATGCTGGAAACTTTTAAACCTGCCTTCCCTCAGGAAGACTTTCATTGCTTTCTCTCCTCTGTGCCATTTTGCTGCTTTATCACATATGTATTTCAAGTTTGTCTGTCTCCAATGCCTGAACCCATAAATGTTCACCACACATTGTCTTCTTTTTGTCCAGAGTTTTTCAATTTATATATTTGAGTAAAAAATGAAAGAGTAATAGGTCATGTAAGTTGACTTCAGATATGTTCATTGCTGTTACACTTGCTAAGGGTTGGAAGTCCAATAAATGCAGAATCACAACAGCAAAACACGGACGTGGTTGACATCCTGCTCCAGACACAGTATATAATTTCCATTTAAAATACTTAAGTAAGTTCCCTGCTGCAAAATCCAGAGAAATGAACAGGAAAGAAAAATGTATTGAAGAAATGGTGATAAAAGATTGAAAAGATAAAAAAAGTTTGAAAATTTATACCTCTTTTGTAGAATCAGAGACACAGATTTAAATGCAAACCAATGAGGCATTGAAAATATGCAATAGGAATTCTATATGTTGGAGATTAAAACAAAACCACCTATGGTACTAAATTAAACATGAAAAAGGCAACTGAAGTTACTGTAAAAGAGAAATGCAAAATTATTTGTAGCAGTTTAGACTTATGGTTTGGGGTTTTTTATCTATTTTGACAATTTGCTATTCTGTCTTCCAAGAACTCTTTATGTATCTCATCTAAATATTGCTTACTGATAAATCATAATTAGCTTGCACTCAATTACCTGTCTTGCAATTATTCATATTAATCACCAGGAGTAATAGGTCATCTGTTGTTGAAGGTATTCTTCTTGGAAAAGAGACAAAGAATTCTAAAACTTAACAAATACCAAAGTGAAATAATTCCTGTGAGTCTGGGATTTTGGGAATTTGGGTGTGAATGCTGGGGATTGTAATTCCAGTGACTGGTTTTTATCTGTTGGATATGAAATACAGTACTTTATGGATTAATTCAGTAGTCTCAAAAATTTTTGCTGATGGCAGAATTGCAATACAAGCAAGCAAGAAATCAAAAGCAAATGAAATTCAAAGGTACTGTGAGTTACAAGTAAATATCTGACTGTTGCCATTGACTTCAGTGAATGTAACACACACTTAATGGGGTTTGAAATGCAGTAAGTGGCATTATACTCTTCTTTGTGGTGTTCATATTAGGATTACAAGCATTTACACCATGAGATATATTTTGACCTATTTTATATTTTCCAAGATAGATTTTTCTGTCTCAATATTCATATACACTATTCTTATAATAGCTTTTTATTGTATTTCAAAAGAGCATTTCTCTTATCTTGTGCATGCCTCTAAAGTGCTTTAAGAGATTTACTAAATGAAAGCCTCCTTTCCTTTTAAAGCTCATGTTCATTTTTTCATGCTGCAACATTAAGACTAAGTGCATATAAGTCTGTTCTCACAAAATTCAATGGACTAAAATCAACATTTACTTTTGTAATTTTATTCTAACTATATGCTAAAATTATTTCTGCTTTTGATGGAATCAACAGATTGGTTATATAAAACTCTTTTGCTTGCTCATGTTCAGATGTCCCAGTTTGCTCATAACCAAGAATCTGTCTGTGCTGTGAGACTTAACAAGCCTGACAAGAGAGCACCTGTTACAATCTTAAGTTCAAGAAAAGTATTTATCCTATTAGAACCTGTTCTAAAATAAGAATTACTGAGAAAGATGAAAGGAAAAAAGCTGTCAGGTCATTCTAATTTATGCATTTTTTTCATCAGCTGCTCACTGTTTGCACTGTTTACATGCAACAGCTTTTATAAGTGCATTACTCCTGCAGTGCCAATAAAGCCACAGACTAGTGTGTAAACGCCTGTGTAAATCATTTGCTAGAAGAGGAAGGAAAGATCCTGAGGCTGAATTTTTAATTGGAAGTGTTCATATCTCACAGATGAGCAAGGATTATGGTTTAGTGGTGCGTATTTTATGTTTACAACTGTCTTTGATTCTTGCCACAAGAAATAAATTGTGGGAGGGGATGAGGATGTAAATTAACATTTGAAGGGAAAAGAATTGAAGCCATTGTGGCTAAGTCACATTGATATAGATTTGAATGTTATATGCTTCCCTGTGTAGTGTCTGTATAGATTGTGTGGTCAATGTCAGAGAACCTTATCCTCACAGCAGAGAGCTAAATATGAGCAACTGCTCCGTATGGTAGAAATACTGGCATGTTTTGACCATGCTAAAGTAGATTCATTGAAATTCTAATCCCAGGCTCAAGAATTATTTAACAAATGCAGCTAAATCAATGAATGTATTTTAAACAGTGTATTTTAATTTACAGGTATTACAATGGAAAAAAACCCCATTTACTCTGTCCTTCATCTCTGAAGCACATCAAAGCCTGACTGAATTCTCTGTGTGAAGGAAGGAAGAGAAGTACCAGATGACAGCATTGGGCTGCTATTTAGACAAAGTAGAAGAGGAGTAGATCTGAACCATCAGCCTGTACTTGGCTTATGTCTAACTTCACTGTTAACAGGAATACAGCTGCAAAAACTTTAATGGACACATTTGCTTGAGAAGGTAACCTACCACCATGGACTCCTTTTATTTTTTGCTGTCAAAAGAATAGATAGGAGTTATCCTAAGGAAGTAAAAACGATAGACCTAAATATTAAAAGTAAGTGCTAAATAGAGAGCTGACATGAGTTCATCCTTCAAAGGGTACCAGATTGCCCTAAAAGATGATTCTCAGCATCAATAGAAATCATGGATATGTCAGATAATGGAAATGATGTTTGCTGGGAACTACAGCTGCCAGTTTTCCAGCTGACAATATGAGTGAATACTTGGGCTTAAAAAGTAATTTACTAGATATTTTATTGACAAATTATTTTTACATATGTACTGAATCAAAATTTATCTCTGAAGTTTTGAGCTATTATTTCTAATCCTGGTGATATACCCCAAGGAATAATTAACACTTTATGAAGTCCTGGCTTTTAGAGATTTTAAATGCCCATGTTTCTACCTCATCCTTTGTAATTGTTAAGCAAAGACACACATACTTATGTTAACCCACATGTTCTTAAATATCCAAATCAAATCTTCCAGACCATGGTTTTCCTTAATTTTTTTTCCTGAATTACCCATGCAATCTAGAGCTAGTGCCTCCTTTTTCCCATAGATACATGACTGATATAAGTTATGGAAAATGTCAGTGTTCAAATATGGACTGTTTCTTCACATCTGAAAGAACTAAAACTATTATGTATTTTTGAAGATGTTCTGATTCTAATTTTTTTCTATTATAAATTAAAAATGGCAACCTGAATTAATAGTCCTATTCATGTTTGCACTTAGTAAAAAACTATACAGAAGCAAATTAATCCAAAATCTTTCATGAAATTCTTTTGTACAATAGCAATTTCCACTGCTGCTCATTGAGAAATAAGGTTAGTGGATTTAAATTTGTTTTCCTTTCATTTAAAACAAAAGGATTAGTCAGAGAGTTCTATTCACAAATTTAGAACGCAATAATTAAAAAATCATTTGGAAAATTTAATATACAAGTATGTTACAGGACAGTATCCAGTTTTCTCTTCCTTGCCTGTCTATTGTTGTAAATGGGTAAGTGGGTCTGAAGTGTATATTGCTCTGAATTACAACCAAGGATCTGGACACTTTCATCCTGGGAAAAGTTGACATGCACACTTGAATTTTAATCAGTAAGTCCTGTATTTTTCCAGTGAACTTCATCAAAGCTAAGATACAACAGCTCTTTTGCATATTTTAATAAGCTAAGACATTTTGTGATAATTCCCTCAACATTTGGTAAAAATGCCTCATGGCTTCATAGCTCTAGGATCACAGACTTTTGGTCCAAGAATCACACTCCATCTATTCCAAAATAACCCTGTGAAATATGTAACATATATGTAATAAGTTCCTCATATAAGTGAGGAATTTCAACACACACTGGTTTAATCCACCAATTTACTGGTTTTGCATTTATTGGTAATGTATAATATGCTAACACTGTGCATTGAATCCTACAGGAACAGAGTGTTTGTACTGCAGAAATATTAAAAGGTTGTGACCTTTCAAAGACAATTTCACATGGTGTAGTCTGAGACTTAATATCAGTTTCTCACCAGCAACACCTCACACAAAATCATGATTTTTTAAAAAAAATTAACTTCTCTTGTTACAAGAAGAGAAATAACAACAGCAGAATAAGAGTAATTATTTTTCTTTCTAGAACCCATAGCTTAATCTGTTAGAAGTAGTTACTTTGTCAGCCAGATTTTGAAACCAGCCACTCATCTATGAATTAGTTGCCTGTTGTCTGAGGCTATGTATCATTATGCAAATGTGCATATTGCGAAATGACCTTTGTGGTTAAATTTAGATGATCACTTAAGGAAAAACTGTCAGTTTCATTTCACTTCCCCAAAGTCTTTGTCAGTGCATTTATGGATCTCAGTCACCCTGGAATAGTGGTTTAAAATATGCCAAAATGCATTCAAGATATGTGATTAGCGAAACTAACTTAACCAGTTTCCTCCTGGCTCTTGTGACCTCCTTTTGTTCGTGAGATGCTTCTTGATTTTTTTTTATTTTTTTAAACATGCATTATAAATGTATAAATGTTTTATGATAGGTATAATTTAATCTGCATTTTCCCTCAGAGGCTTCCATCAAATTTGGGAACAAGTTTTTCTGAAATGGCACCTCTCAAGACAAATGATAGTGGGTTTTTTTTAAAGTTAAATGTTTTACTATAATGAACAGGTTTTACTTCTATATAAGTGAAAGGACAGGCCTTCCAGATTTATAAAAGAGGATGTCACAGTAAATGCTCTCTTAAGCAATTGAAGTGCATTTACCAAGGAAAAATGCACTGATATTTACCACATTAGTGATTACAAGGCAATTATAAAATCACACCAGCTTATTAAAATTGATGAGAAATGTTATAGATATACGTGATTTGTTAAAAGTATCACTGTAGCTGATAATTTTACAAAATATGCTGTGAGAAGATTAATAAATTATGCTGATAGTAAAACCAGGAACATTGAAATTCTTCAAAGAATTTCTTGGTTGTTTGTTTTGGGGTTTTTTTGAGTGAGAAAGCACAGGGGAAAAAACCTCTACAATTAAACATTTGGGGTTTTTCCATCAAAGTTGCAGTAAGAAGTCCACTTAAGATCAAGACCTTCCCTGAAAACAGTTCTGTATATTTCCTGTTTCCTTTATCAGTTTCCTTTATCCTTTATTTATTTTCTAACAATAACAGCAATAGTGATATACTTTAATTTGTCTTTCTGGCTTAGACTGAAATTTAAGTTTTAAATCATGCAACTATTTAGATACGTTTGTTTAAGAAATTACATGGGCTCTTCTATGATCTTAAATAAACTGCAATTATATAATACTTCAGATATGTTTTATTTGAAGTCTGCTGAAGCACATAGGGATGTTTCTACTGACCCACAATGGCTTAGGACAAACACATTTTTCATTGCAATTGTCAAGGATTGCTGAATTCAGTAGCCTAGCAGGGGTGAGGCTGCTGCAGCTCTGTGTGAGCTTGAGGTGAGTCTGAGCATGTGAGTCTGTGAATTTGCAGAGTGAGTAAATTAAAAACGGATTACTGCTGAAATTTTTTAAAAGAACAGTAGTCACAGCCATATCTAAAAATATTCTAAGCCATGCTTCTATAAATGCACAAGTGCTTAGCCAAAGGGCAGAAATATTAACAGTATTATCTAACTAATATCCAGTGTGCAATACTGGAGTAATTTGGAGTAATATTAATTATATCACAAATATTATAAAAATCTAAATAATTAGCAAATGTAAGGAAGTTGTAGCTTGCTCCTAAAATTTCAAAAGCAGAAACAGATGCTAAAGTACACATATTATTCTTCATGAGATGTCTGCTCAGATCTAATATGTAGCTAATTCAATTTTCATACCAAATGTAATAAGCAAACTAGAGAAACTAGCATAGCAATTTCAGGAAAAAGTAGGGAATGATTCTATCACCTTCTCATCATGAGACTCAGAGATTACAGAAAATGAGGGCTAATGTGAGAGAAAAGTTGGAAAAAAAATTTAACAAATGGGTGATGGATTTCTCTGAGTGTTGGCCAGACACCATCCAAAATGATATTAATATTTTTGAAAGCAGTAGTTAAATGAATTCCATCTTTGTTAAATGGTTCTTCCAGGAAATGACATTGAAGAATTTGGAATATTGCATGACATGAAGGGATTTATTAAAGGAGTAACTAAAATGTGATAGAATGATAATCATTGTTCCTACTTTTAAAGCCTTTGTTCTACAGGAACAAAAAAATGAAATGTAAAGGTTAGATTGAGTTAAGAACACTGTAACAACCTACTGAAGAAACAAGACAGAACAGGATAAAGATCTTTGCAGCTTTGTATAATTTTAGGAAAGAATCAATAAAAATTTTACTTTCACCTGAGGACTTTTTTGTGGTATTCTAATGCCACATTTGGATGTAATAAATTATTCTGTAGCTCTATATGAAATTGTTGAAGCTATATATTTGAATATTTGAGGAATATTAGGATTTTTTTTATGTTGCTGCAATGTATAGATGTCATAGTTGAGATGGTCATGGTTGAGACGGAGACAACACAACACACTCCATTTTCAGAAGGCTTCAAAACTGTCTTTATTCTAGCATGCATGCTTTTTATACATTCTTAAAAAACACCTAAGTTTACACTTTACTCATTGGTCAGAAGAGACAAACAAAGTGCTTGTTGGCATAGACAGTTGCAGGTTTCTCTTATTTATCCTTCTCTCTTTCTTGTTTTCCATGTCAACGACCTGGATAGGAAATTCTTTCAGGGTCCTCTTATCAAACTTCTCTCTAGCGCAGAGAAGTCACTGTAAAATCTCTTCCACACATAGACAGTAGAATTAGTAATGTGGTAATAGACACTGACGTAATAGTCGTAGTAAATAGTAATGTGGTGTAGACACTGATGACTGCTTTTGCAAAGTTCAGCATTAAATATCTCTTAAATATCCAATGGGCAAATAACATCATAGAATGGTGTAAATATAATTATGAGTTAATAAAAATTAATCACATTAGAATATTAAATGAAGAAAGATATTTAAATCTTGACATGCAAGTTATGGTGGAATGAAGTGAAAACTTGCAAAGCAGTCAATTGTACTTATGGTCATACTGTAGAGTCAGATCAATTTACTCTTCTTTTAGTGAAGGATTAGGCAGGTACAAGGTACAACTGGTTACTACGGATAGGCTGACATGCTGGATTTTACTGCATAATTTATATTTATTCATATACCCCTTCCATGAAGTTCTCAATTTCAAAAGGCAATCTTTCATTCATCAAGGGGACAAATTAGAGTCAACTTGTTAAAGGACTAGTTGATACAGAGCTGGTACAGAACTGTACAAGACTATACAAATCAATAAAACTACAAGGAGTCAGGATTTCAAGCAAAGGGGGTGTGGAAAGAACTTGTATCATTGAGATCTAGCCTGAATCACCATCTGTGAAGTGCCAAACAAGCTGATAACTGACATGGAACAAAAAAGTCATCTGATCAGAGAAAAATTGCTAACTCTCATATACAAGGCTAGCAGGAAAATTGCCAAGGTTCAAGGAGAATTACATCTTGCCAAGATAGTAAAATAAGGTATAAAAGAATTTTCTATTTTATTTTGAAATACAGACAAGCCGTTCCCACTCACTGTCAGTCCTATTCCTGCTACCCAGGAATAACAAAGCTGGCAAGTGTTGTCTAGGACACAAGGGATCAAATAACTCTTCAGGTTTGCAACAGCTAGGAGTAGCGGAGCATCAATCTCATTGTGCAGCTGTAAGATCCAGGACAGGGAATAGGTTTCAAGGCTGTAACCATCTTCTCTTTCTTCAATGAACAGTTTCACATCTATTTGTCAAAGAAACCCACATATTTACAGGAGAGCCAACACATCCAAGAAAGGAATTAGTCTGCATCTGCTATTGACCTTTGCTTACATGAACTCTCAGACCATATGGGAGTTCATCAGTTGAGATGGTTCATTTGGGACCATCTCTCATCCAAT